TCTCCTAAACCAAGCGTTTGCAGACATACCTTCACTTTTAACAACATTTAATATGAATGTTAATGTTTACATTTAATTTATAAAGTAATGGGAACAAATAAATAAGTTTAATTACTTAATATAACGCAAATAATGCATAACAATGAAAATCTTTAGGGGTGAATATCTCCTAAACAAAGCGTTTGCGGACATACCTTCAGAGGAAATTATTTTCTTGCTTAGAGGTCCTTAATTCATATTTTCAGTTTGGCCACTTAACCCTGAAACACCCTGTAGATTAAATATAATAATTATAACAACAATAATATATAAAAAATGTGATCTTGGGAAAGAGACTATAATAAGAATTAGTTGAAAAAGGCCTTTTTAGTCTCGATAAATAATTACTTTATTTCAAATTTATCCAAATGTTTGCCTCTTCAGGCATCTTCAGGGATGATCTGATTTTACATATAATTTAAATTTTCATTCGCTTATAGCAGTGCACTCATTTGCACACTTCGGCAATTTTGCAATTTTTATTCGGTTATGTTCTTGACTAAGTGTGCAAGTGGATGCACTGCTATAAGCGAATAAAAATTTAAATTGAACATTTAATAGTTGACCGTTGTATTTTAGAGGAAGATGGTCCGAGGTGGCGGTCATAAATAGACTAAAATAGTGACAAAACTATTTTATTTCAAGCCAAGGATTCGAGCTGACTTTGCAGGTCTTCTTTAGGGAGGTGTGTTCAGCAAGGAATTTTAGTTAAAACTGAAGTTTTAACAAAAGTTTTGATTTATTCTATTGATTTATTGTCATATTCTAAAGTTTTAACTAAAACTCCTTGCTGAACACACCTCCCTGAACAAGACTTGCAAAGTTGGATCAAAATGTTGGCTTGAAATAAAATAGTTTTGCCACTATTTTAGCCACCCCGGACCATCTCCTTCCTCGAAAATTTAAATTATACATAAAATCAGATTATCCCTGAAGAGGCGAAAATTTGGTTAAATTTGAAATAAAGTAATTATTTATCGAAACTAAAAAGGTCTTATTCAACTAACAATAATATAATAAAAAGCAAAATTTACAAAACAATCTTTAAAATGAATGAAAACTTAACAATTAAATAAACACTAATTATCTTGTAATTTATACGGTTCTCCTGTTTTGCTTGTCAGATGAGGGATAAAAATAAAAATAAAACTATTGCCCAGATGGGCTTTCCCCACCCCTTTACTATTACGTCTTGTTTTTTTTAACCATTACTAATTTAATGAGCACAGATTCCTTAAAATTGAGTATTATTGGCATTTGGGGTAGATCAATGATAGGGTACTGGACTTCCAATGCTAAAGGCCCCAGGTTCAAATCCCGGCTCATGTCAGAAAAATTATTTATTCTGTTTCATTGGCCGTGGGGCGACCCTCCTGGGAGACACCCAGCCTCTATAAATTGAGTACACTTAATTAAAATAATTAATTAGGGAGAAAAACCTGGCGGTTGAGCGTGATTTCGGTCAAATCACCTCTTTGCACAACCGTAGACCAAGAAACAGTGCTTTCCCTAAATAGTACTGAACCCAAGACCCTTCTTAAGTTGTAGTGGTACAGATTTTTTATTTATTTATTTTTTTTTTAAGAGGAAGTGTAACTAACAGTGACATTATTGCTATATCAAACTATTTATCTAATTTCATTAGATAGCAACAGCAGATGGAAAATATCAAAAACAAGAAACAAAATTACTAGCATAGTAAAATAACCATTTATATATTTATTATTTCCATAGTATTTGAAATGTCTAAATGCATCTTTAGTTTTTAGAAAAAAAATATCAGATATAACGACAGTCAGCTCTCGACAAAGGTGTTATCTAAAGGAAATCCACTGTATATTTATTTTCAATCTGAAAAAATATTAACGCACTGAAAAAATTCCCTGACTTCTCCCTCTTTTGAAAATTATCTGACTTTTACAATTTTTCCAGGTCGGTCGCCACACTGTACAATACCTTTACTATAGACTATATGATATGTTTCCATAATTCATAGGTGCAACCTATTACTATCAGTAGGAAGTGAGGGGGATTAGTTTTACATATGATTGAAATAGAGGTTGACCCCAGACATAAATCAACCTTCCATTTGGAAAATAATATTCGAGGACAAATTAAAATCAATTATAATTTGATTTCCAAATTTGACACAGACATCTCAAAATGAAACAAACATGCTTAAATTAGATGAATAGCATCATATCTTTAAAATATTATGAAGATTTGAAATTAGATCATAGGCACTTAAATTGAAATTTTAAAATTGAGTTTTCTAACTTTTAAAGAAAATCGTTGATTATTAGTTAAATGAAAACATGTTTTTAAACCAACTAATTAATTTAAAGCCTGTTCAGAAGAAAACAATAAGTGAAAATGTTGGGGAATTGAACTGAACACATCTAATGTAAACATTGTGTAATTTATTACAGTTAATGGTGAGGGGAACTAGTCTGGCAAATGGGTCTTGTGGTCCTTTTTGTAAACTTCTGATAGCTACCCACAAGTTGCCACCATGTACTAACCAGAGTGGAGTCGATTCAATTCTCGGGGCTGCCGAAAATACATATATTAACTAACCATGGAAGGAATCGAATCCACACAGTTCCAAACCGGGGACTTAGGGACTTTTACTACAACATCACATTATCTTATAGTTTACTAACTACAAAGCGATGGTAATCGTCCGTCTCTGTCTACTTTCGGACACCCAAAAGTAGTTTCAAGATTCCATCTGCAATGTGTTCGGATATGGTCTTGAACCCAGCCACTATCTTGTAGAATTTTGAAACTAGTATCAATAAATATTAGTTACAAACATTACAGCTATAGATTGATGATAAAAAGAAAAATTATAGATAGAAATACAAATTTCAATATAATACTTTAGAAGTGTCAGGTGTGGATGACAGTTGAGCCAAGATCACACAAACACATTATTCCTGGAATGTCAAAGCTAGATGAATATTACTTTTAGAAATGTAACCTAATCTAATGTTTTAAAATACAAATAAATAACCTCTTTAATGGCAAATGGTGAACAATCAGAAATATATCAAGCATAAACAGAGCTTTCTTCTCTCTTTACTAAAATGGAATAACGAGATTTGAATTGTCTGTCACAGATGGGAAAAAGTTGTCACACTAATTATAAGTGGCTACTGTTGGGATTTCAAAAAAGGAAAAAATCATCAAACAACTATTCATCAATTTAATTTTATAAAAGTTTACATGATGATTTTTTCGGAATAAATGGATGATAGATACCTAATTATTTACATATAATATCAGATCTAGAATTATTAAGCAACAGTAAATGTATTAAGGTTATAAACATTTCCATGAATTTTTTTTATATTTCCCTCCTTCTTTCTCACACGTTGAATGAAATTGTATTTAAAAACAATGTCATTATCTTTATTCGGTGGATTTTAAATACTTTTTTCAAACTAAAAAAATGTTTAAAAATTCACAATTAGTAAGAAAATCCCATTTAATTTCCTTGGAAACATGTGATTTACGTTAAATAATCCTAGTTTTCAGAAATTATTATTTATATTTTTTTTGTCACTCTCTGTTACCTTTTACAACTTTATTTGTTAGATATTATTTTTTCTAAAATTCTCAGCTTTCCAACTAGTCCAGTAAAATTAGGGATTGACCACAATATTAAAAAAATAAAAATGAAACTTGTCAAAAATTGTTCATTACCTTAAACTTACAGAAACTGGTAAAAAGTCCCAAAGAATCCTGCATTGGTTTTGATGGTGAGAGGAGAGAGAAGAACATACAACTGATATTTTTAAACCATGGGTGATAAATATTCAGGACGCAGTCATTATAAATTTTTTTTATTTGTGCCGACATTTCAACCCAAACATCCGGTATTTGAAAGCCTTCAGTGCTCAAACCACACCCTGATGATGACCCACATGTTTGGGTTGAAACGTCAGCACAAATACAAATTTTTTATAATGACTGTATCCTGAATATTTATCACTCATGATATGAAGAACAGTCTACTAGCTTCCTTCGATATTTTTAAACTGGTTAAACTGATATTTGAGGTTTTTCGCAAAGATTGTTCAGCACAATTTTAAAGTATTTAAAATCTCTATAAAACCGACCCTATACACTTTTATGATAAAATCGATGGTTACGGAGATATTTATGAGATTGTATTTATTGCATTTCTAGTTTGCTTCAAACCACGAATTTGATGTTGTCCATAGTAGATGATACCTTTTTGAAATTTAATTAGTTTTTTTTAATACTTTTGATCATTCAATTTATTATTCAATGTTTCTTTCTTTTAAAGGGTTTGGAAATTTACGATATCCAAATACTTTTGGAGATACTTGGCTAATTTGGGCATTTTATGAACAGTGTAATTAAAGTGATCTTGGTGCACCTGTCAAACCGAACATGACACTACTTTAGTATTACTAATTTCAATATTCACAATGTTTAAGATAACACAGAACTTTTCTGAGATGTCATAATAAATCAGGATACTAGTTCACAAGTATCCCTTCTGGTTGACAGGCAGGTTACTGTCAAATTCATACTGTAGCTAAAGTTCTAAAACAATTTTGATAACTATGATCAAATGTGGATTCTCTACACTTGCTAAAGATATAAACAAACCCCCAACAGATCCTTTTAATTGAAATCAGGGCATACTAGAGATCAGTCCTCACCGTATACATTAAAAATATATTCAGGCACTTTTAGGATTGTGTTACACATGTGATCTTGACCTGTCAATCAGACTTGACATATGTAAACATTAATCCCATTAAGATTCTTAAACGGTAGCAGAAAAAGTTTCGCCAAGATAAACAGAACAATTAACTATAACCATAAATACTTAATACATATACAAAATAAAATTGTAAGAAGCTTTACAGTTACAGTAATGTCGAAATAGTTTTTTATTTTCCAGAAATAGAAAGATTACTTACATCAATAGGATTATCATGTTCTACAGCTTCAATGTCTGTCACTTCCACCTGATCAACACTATTTTCACACTGATTAACCTCTTCCTTAATAACATCTGCTGCAGTAAGGTCTTCTTCTTTTGAAGGCTGGGAAGATTCTTGAACAGATTCTTCAGTATCCATTTTATGACCCAAGTTAATCCTAAACATGATGTATTAATATTTCTCACTGATGCTTATAATAACCAAGCATGATTAATTTATAATGATAATAAAGATCCAAATATGAAAGTACTAATGTTAGTTATTTAGAACTTACAAATAAAAACTAAAATTAAATCAAAAATAAATAAGCTGAAGAATGTCTTCAAGTCACGAAACTGAATAAAACAGATTGAACTGAAAACTAAAACAACAATGATCACATTCCACAATAACGACAACAAAATTGACTTAAAGAATTCGCTATGAATTCATAACTACCATGTTGGCATAACAGTGTTGCCGAGTTTTTCATGAATAATTGTGCAAATATCTTTCTGCAATAAGCAACATTAAAAAAAAAAAAACACTCAAATTTGATTATGTGTGCTTTAAAAAACAACAACGCAAAATAAAGTGGTAATTAATTAACCCCCTTTGTACAAAAATTTATTTATTTATTATTTTTTTTAAAGGGTGTTACATTATTAAATTTTTATATCTAACATTATGTTATATTAACGACGAAAGGCATTACAGTTGTGATAAGTTATTAATTTTATGTTTTCAATATTACAATATCTCCTATTAAAATAAAAAAAATAAAAAATGTATACACACACGCAACACACATACATATATATATATATATATATATATATATATATATATATATATATATATTCATATATATGTACAATTTGTTATTCTCAAGGACTTCGTCTTATATATTCTATTCTATTCTATACATATAGTAGGATAAGCTGTATAAAGCATAAATAATAAAAAAAAGTAGTAAATCATTGGCGCAGACTCCGGGAGAACGTGGGAGGGGTGGGAGAGATCGCCTCCCCTCATCACCCCCAATAAAATAGTGAACGGCAAGAATATCTTTTCGCATCCCAATATTTCGAAGTAAAATAATTAAAAAAAAAAAATAACAGAGGAGAAGAAAAGAGGAGCCAAGTGGTTACCTGAGAAAATGAGGCGGCACACAGCCACTGTCCCTCAATGAAGTAATGCCTAACGGTAGTCCCTTGGAGCACAGGCGAATTTACGGGGGGGAGGGGGCTTTCGGGCTGAAGCCCCCCTCCCCCCTCCAAAATGGTAAAATGTAACGATGTTTTATGGTAAAAATTATTAAAAAATTATGTCTTAAAGTATTATTGCTCGTTTAATTACATTCAATAGGACTTCAAGAGTGAATATTTCGATCTACCCTCGATTATAAAAAAAAAAGCTCCATTTGCGAGACTTGGTTATTTGCACCAGGGGACCTCAAAACGTTTAGTCCGAGTGTTAAAAGCTCGGATATGAAAATTTTCACAATATATTTCTGTGTAAGGATTCCCTTACAATATATTTTATATATAGGTAACTAAAAGTAAAACTATATTCAATTACTTTGTTATAATATTTTGAAATATTCCGATACACAAACAAAAAAAAACTAATATATAAAGATATATATATATATATTTATTTATATATAACATATATATATATATATGTAATACTTAATTGTTTGTTTTAAAATACTGCTGATTATTACACATAATTTCTTACATAATACGTTGCACCTTGCTTTAGGCAGCCGTGACCATGTTTGTGAAAAGCTAGTGCTCCATTGTCTGGTTGAGGCGATCAGATAAGATCTGAAAGATAAAATTTAATCCGTACCAGCTACCGGTAGGACTGAGCCATTTCATCACAGATTTAGCCAGGGACAACGACTGCACCGCAGACTTGAGGGCCCTCAGGTAGAAAGATGTCTATGCCAGCATAAAAATGGTAAGACAATTTGCACAATTCATATAACCTACCACTTCATCAAAATACAATCCACTGCATAAATAAGTCGAATGTTGGCAATAAGTTGAATGTTGCCTATTGTGAACTCATGAGAGATTATTAGCCTTAATTAGAAAAGTTCCCTAAACTTTTTGGTCCACCGGACACGATTAAATAATATTTTTTGCCATATTAGCGATGTTTTGCCGTACGTAAAGGAGAAAAATTGACAGGTAGGTTATAAGAGTTTTTGTAAAGATCGTCTGTTTCCGGGCTGACATTCGCCTATTAATTCGTTTTTTCGTTTAAATATATCTTATATCGTTTATTACTTTGATGCGTATTTAATACAGAGTAATAAAAAATGAATTTTGTTTTGTAAAAATCGTATATTTCCGGACTAATATTAGTATTCCGCCTATTAATTCGTTTTTTTAAATATATCTTATGTCGTATATCTAATGCTTTCGTTACGTGTTTGAGGAAGTCAAGCTGTTTCCAGGAATTTTCAGGAAAGAACGCATAGTGACTTGCTGGAATTAAGTGACTTCGTTAATACTTACGTTGACCCTTAAGTTAAGCCTTCATTATCTTGGCCTATTTTGCTGAACTTTGCTTTTATTTTGAAGAAAATTGGTTTTGCCATAAGCAATTAAAATTTAATTTTTATTTTTCAACAGCTTTGAATATGACGCCGACTAGGAGTACTGAGAGATTTAAAGCTATGAATGATAGAAAGGAAAGGCTGTTTCTTCGAATCCAAACCACTTTCAATATGATTAAGGGTCTCCCTGCTAGAAAGGAACTTTTTATGGCTAGGGCATAAGAAATTAAGGCACAACTGGAAGAATTTGAAGTGATGTTGACCAATATTTCGTTGCTAAACGAATCGTTATATGAAAATATATGGTATCAAGAGATTGTACTAAACTATCGTAAAGATAGAGAAGCCATACCCCAAGAAGGAAATCGTGCAGTGCCACAATTACCAGGCGTATGGCCACACGAAGACTTATTGTCACCATCTGCCGCGTTGCGTGAAATGCGGTGAACAGCACAAATCTGTGGAGTGCACCAAACCGATACAAGATCCTGCACTGTTTGCACTATGCCAGGAGGGACACCCGGCCAACTACAAAGGCTGCCAAACCTATAAGAGTCTCAAATCCAGATACCAGAAGAACCGGATTCAAGATGAGACAACCAGACCAAGAAGAGAACCTTCTAGCATTGTTAATAATAGTTTATCATACTCCGAACTACTTGGAGGTAAGAACCTAAATAGTACATGTGAAGCCCTGGCGCATCAACTACCTCAGTCCCAACCTCAATAATCTGTTCATCCTTACACACATACCCATCAACAACCTCAAATTCCTCCTCCTTCAAATGCAACAGATCTCACCAGTTTTTTATCATCTTTCCTCACCGATTTCAAATCCCTAGTTACTCCATTCATATCACTCCTTACAAATCTCGTAGCTCACCTCATCCCTCCTTTAAAAAAATCCTTAATGACTCACATCCCAAAACCCATGTCCATTCTCCTTTGGAATGCGAATGTTGTTAGAAATCACATTGACGAACTAACAGCTTTACTACAAGACAAGAACATTGACGTAGCCCTAATTACAGCATTTAAAAATCCCACAGTACATAACAAACCGTACTGACCATCATGACGGTAGAGAACATGCCGGTACTGCTGTCATCGTACACCAATCCCTCTCCCATCACTTACTCCCATTACCTACTCAAGATTTCCTACAGTCAACCACTATTGCAATCAAAACCTTCTCCTTTCCAGTCACCCTTGCATTAGCATATTGCCCACCTAACAGATCTATATCCAAAGTCCAGTTCAGTTCTCTCCTTAACTCCTTAGGTCATCATTTCATCCTGGGTGCAGACTTAAATGCCAAGCATCAAGTATGGGGTTCAAGAACCACGAATTCTCGTGGCAGAACATTTCTGTCTGCACTCAATACCCAACGAGCTAGTCTCCTTCCACCCAACTCACCAACCTACTGGCCCACTGATCCTAACCGCAATCCTGATATCCTTTATTTTTTCATTCACAGTGGTTTAGGTCCCCTAAATCATTTCCTTACCCGTCTTGACGAACTTTCCTCAGATCATAGTCCATTAATACTTCAATTATCAATAGCTCCTATTCTTAAACCCCCTTCACCTTCCTTCATCAGAGGCCCAGTCAACTGGAAACTCTTTCATCAAATCCTTTCCGATAAAATTGACCTCAGAATAACCCTGAAAAGCCCAGAAGACCTCGATAATGCCGTAAATTCCTTTACCACCACTATTCAGCAAGCAATCTGGACTACTTCCTCCCCGAATCTCTCCTCGATAATTCCTAAGAAAAATAATTTACCTCAGCACCTGCTAGACCTAATTCACATCAAACGCCGTGCCAGAATATTATGGCAACGTTCAAGACACCCCACCTATCGTCGCTCTTATAATTATTTCACTAAACGATTAAAGCAGGAATTGGCCATCTTCAAATCCCAATCCTTCAACTCCTACCTTACTTCCCTCTCTGTTCACGACAATTCTCTATGGAAGATCTCCAACAAAATCCTTAAATCCCATCATATTTACCATCCCCTCCGTCGATGCGATGGCTCCTGGGCAGCGTCTGATGAAAACAAAGCTGAGGAATTCGCCAGACACCTCTCCAGAACATTCACCTCACTTCCGGAATCCAACCCCACCCATAGCATAACAGTAGCAGAATTCCTTACATCACCCATTCCACTTTCCTTACCCCCTAAAGCAGTTAATCCTTCTGAGGTCAAACATCACTTACAAAAACTACCTCTCCGTAAATCTCCTGGATACAACCTCCTTACCTCTAAAATCCTTCGACAACTTTCTCCTAAAGCTGTTATATTTCTCACTTACTTATATAATACCATCCTTAGAACCACCCACTTTCCTCTTTTGTGGAAACATTCCACTATTATCCTGTTTCCGAAACCAGGCAAATCTCCCAACACCTCTACGTCCTACAGACCAATTAGCCTACTTCCAATCCTCTCCAAAATCTTTGAAAAGATTCTCCTGAAACGAATCCTACCTTTTATAAAATCCCAAAATCTTCCTTCCCATCAGTTCGGATTTAGTTCACAACACTCCAAAGTCCAACAAGGACTCCGAGTGGTCGATCATATTTCCGCAGCACTGAAAAGCAAGCAATATTGCTTGGGTGCATTTCTGGACATAGCGCAAGCTTTCGACCGGGTGTGGCATGATGGCTTGCTTTTCAAGCTCAAAACTCACTTACCCCAATCCTTGTACCTAGTCCTCAAATCCTACCTCTCAAATCGTTCCCCAACTATTATCCAATTGAAGCTGGTGTTCCACAAGGCAGTGTCTTGGGCCCCGTCCTTTATATCTTTTTTACCGCCGATATCCCTGTCCATCCCAATACCTTCCTGGCAACATTTGCTGATGACACCGCCATCCTATCATCCAACTCAGATCCCG